AGGCTCACTCAGTACAGTGCATTGACTGGTCCTCAGATAGAAATATTCCCACTGCTACAATGCACTGGTGCCAGATAAGAACCAGTGACCTAGAGAACAGAGCCCTGCATTTCCTATTTGGATAGAGCCAGCTGGGCCATTGTAGGGCTGCTACCTCCTGTCAGAGCTCATTGAGCTCTTGGCTGGGGGAAGGGATGCTTGCAGTTCTTGCAACACAGTGCCACCTCCAAGCTTCAACTTCCACATGCAGCATTGCCACCTGCAGCTGCCCTCTGATCTGCAGCCCCATCCCCTATGTTCTGGGAAGGCAGCCTTCCCCTCCTGTTCCCTTTGAGAGTCACTGGGGGCTAAGGTGAATCAGAGCATGACAAAGACTTCCAGTAAAAGTGTGCTGCTGCAGGAAGCAGAGGCCATGAGTCAAAGGCAGCACTCCTTCCCAGCGGGCTGCAGGCACTGACTAAGCAGGGTGAGGCAAGCACTGCTCTGAGTGCCTGGCAATCCATACCAACTCTCTCCTTGGTAAGAAGCAAGGTATTAACCTCAACACCTCAGCCAAGCACCACTTCAAACCTTTGCATCCTGCCACCTGAAATTCCCCTCCCAGGATTTGGGATCCTCTTTCCCATGTCTCACCCTGCTTAACACACCTGTGGTGTTCCCTTGGGCTGCTGGAGGCTGATTGCATTCTGCCCTGGGAAGGCTTCATTTCAAGCCTTGATCTCCATGTAAAAATAGGAAGGGATTGAAATAGGAATTCAGAAATACCAGGAGGAGAAAAAAATGGGGAAAAAAAAAAGCCAAACACAAAGCTCACCAATTGCTAAAAAGCTCCATCCCATTTCTCCTTCCACAAAGAGTTCCTGGATATCTTCTTGAAGCGCCTTTGCCTAAAAGCATGCAAACCCAAGGCCAGAACAGTGCCTCTTTTAGAGCTCACAGTGCAAGGAACCAACTGAGAATGAGGTGCTTGGTGCAAGGTCTTTTATAGGTGGGAGCATGATGCATTGCTTTGCCCTTTAATGAGGTCCAGCTGCTGTGACCTCCACATCCCCTTCAGTTCTAAGTGATGTGAAGTCTATTAGGACTCATTCCTCTGACATTTGCTTCAGCTGTGAGATTGCCCCAGCAAAGGGCGGCTCAGCACAGTGCTGCCAAGGGCTGTTTCAGTGCCCTTGGGGTGAGATGAGTATCAGGGAACAGGAGAGAGAAATCGGTGAGACACCTTGCAGAGGCAAGGTTGTGCAAAGCAGAGTGGAGTTCACATGGTGCTTAACAAAGAGGCATTGATCGAAAGCTCATTGTGACAGAGCACAGTGCTTGGAGATCATTTCCAGAGCTTTCTCTATGGGGAAGGGCAAGAACCAGATCCCACGCTTGCAAAATCTGCTGCCTTTGATGGGTTGATGGTCAGACTAGATCTTAGTGGTCTTTCCCAAGCTTAATGATTCTAAGATTTTAGGCACTGGAGCATTCTGCAAAGCCTGGAGGGTCAGCAGGCTATTTGCACATCACACCCAGGGTGCCCAGCCCCACATAAGGCACCCTGAGCCCTGCACAGGGCCCCTAAGGCCTGGCATGACCCAGTGACTATCTGGGCTTGGGATCGTGGGGAAAGGCACCAGCACAAACCACTTCAGAAGCCAAGGTGGAGGAGTAGCATCCCAGAGGTCTCTGCTAATGACTGCTTGGCACCAACATGTCTTTGGCTCTCAGCTGGGCTTTTTCTACCTTGAAAACAACAACAACAACAACAACACAAGCAACGACAACAACAACCAAAAAGTAAAATAAAACAATGAGTAAACTGCAACTCAGCAAGCTTCAGCCTACACAGTTCACCACTGATGTGCCGCTGCCCCGGGAGCCGTCGGGGTGGATCGGTGGGCACTGCAATGCAGGGTGTATCCCAAAGCTTTTCCTCTGCCATGTCGACCACACGCAACACTCAGCAAAGCAGCAGCAAGGTGCACGTGCACACACACACACACACCTCCTGCTTAATATGTCCAAGCCTCTCCGCAGGCTGATTGCTGATGTTATTTTCTCCTCCTCGCCCTGGCTTGCACGCTCGCTGCCATCAATAAGCGATGCGTTTGCCCTTATGAATTATTGAGTGTGTAACAGGGCCGGCCCGGCTCAGTCACCTTGCAAACCAATGCTCCCACAAGCATGGCAGCAGCCAGTTTGCCCTCTGGCTCCTGATGGAGAGCACGGGATGCTGATCCAGCACCTTGCAAAACCCCTTTATGTCACCCGTTGTCTCTGCTGAGGTTTGGGTGTTACTGCAGCAATGGTGCTTTATTTCCCCCGATGGGAAGCTTGGAGGAGCGGAACAAAAGGAGTTTACAGCGTCTTGCAAAAGAGCCATGAGTTATTCAGTCACCTGGAAAGGAAACATGATTTCCGCACAGTGTTTGCTGGGTTTTTTTGGTTTGTTTTTTTTTCGTTTTCCCCTGAAGCCTCTAGAAAGTTTGGAATGTGTTTGTGTTAAAGCTGCTGCATGTAGGGGCCTGAAAACAGTGCTGGCAGCGTCGTGCTGTTGGCAGTCTCTGCTGGCACCAGTTTCTTCCCCAGCCCGGAGCTTGACACTTTGCACCTGGGAGGAGGAGGGACCTCACTGGCTGAGGGTCAGCTCCATCAGCACCCAGTTTGTTTTGTGTCCTGGTACAGTCTGTGCTGACGCACGGATCCCATGGCAGGGGGAGGTCAGAGCTGGGAACTGTTCCTCCCACCCAAGGTCGAGGACAACCACTCAGTTCACAAAAGGGTCATTCATTCATTTGCAGGGAAATCATAGCGTAAAGAAAGAGCATCGTAACAGAGGTGAGGGGGTGGATTGGGTTTTCTTGTGATATGCACCACCAGCATGCTTGATACCGTTATTTAAGAGGCGCACTGTGGGTGCCAATCCCTTGGCCTCAAGCTTGCATAGCTTTGCAAGCAGACCTTCTTGCCCACCCCAGAGATCCTGGGCTGTCCTATGGATGCCCAGCAAGGTGACCAACGTGATGGCTTTCCATCCTCTCTGTGAGATCCAGCCTGTCTCCTGCTCGTCTGGCACTGTCAGGAGGCACGGAGTCACCACATCCTGCTGCCACCAACGTGGTTTCTTCCACTGGAGTCCCAAGGATCCAGTGGGGGGGGGTCATGGTGCTGATGTGGGCATGGGGCCAGTGGTACCATCTCCCCAGCCCTGGGAGCACGAGCCCTGTGTGGGAGAGGAGGGGAGCGATGAATGCACTTGGCTGCAGTGCAGGTAGGAGCAGCGTGCTGAGCACACAGGCAGCCAGGCAGCCCCAAGCTGGGCGCAGGTTGTTCCCAGGGCCTCTGCTACGTGATTGCTGTTGCTCTCCTGCAAGCTCCCACATGTCTTGGGAGGCTGTGAGGGCTTCAGAGGCAGGCTGCTTGGCAGGGCTGCTGTGCACCTCCATAGGTGTGGGCTCAAACCTCCAGGCTAGAAGGAGCAGCTTGTGCTGCAAAGCAAGTCAGAGGCTTCTCCCTGCTCCACACCCGCCTGTTCTTTCCCGGAATCCTAGCACTGCATGGTCCAGATCCAGCCCTGCTCTGCACCCGCTGCCCTCATTCCATCAGCTGTGTCACAGGTCATAAAGGTGTTCCGTGGGGTCTCGCTGCTTGACCGTCCTCCCCCAGTTGTCAAGGAGAGACATCATCCAGCAGTGACTGTGCTGGAGCACGAGCATCCCTTCCCTCTGCCTTCTGGTGGGACATGCATGGCATCTGGGTGGGATGGGAAGGTGCAGCCCTGTGGCCTCTGAGGACCCTATGGCTTTGTGCACACAGGCACAGGAGGGCACCAGTGCTTTGCTGTGGTTGTAAGCAGAACTGGGAAGCATTCAGCAGCATCCAGCTGCAGTGTAGGGTGTGGGGCAGCCCGGTGCTTGGCTCAGGAAGGGGGCAAGCCCACACAAAGCTCCAGAGACCGAGTTTCGGTCTTAATTGCTGCCGACTGTGGTCAGCTGATGGCGTCTCATGGCTGGGTTGGGTTGCTGAGGCTTGTCCTTGGGGTCATGGGCTCAGTGTGCAGGGGAGGAGAAGGGGAGAGAGCACTGAAGCTGCAGGAACGGGACACCCATGGCCATGTTCACGTCCTGTCAGCTAAAAGATGTATTCTGTTTCTCTTGCTGTCAATTTCCTTTTTTCTTTCCCTTCCTTTTCATGTTTCTCCCTCTTTGTACCTCTTTCCCTTTTCCTTACCCCCTCTTTCTTCCCTTTCCTCTCTGTCTCCCAGAATACATCCAGTTTCAGATGCTGCCAGAAGCAGCGAGCAAAACCTGCTTTTCTCGTTCTCACCGCCTTCCTTCCCCCTTGTATTTCTCATAGAAATACTGGCTGTATAATTATCAGTGCATTATCTCTAAACATACAGATTAGGGAAAGACACAGTGGCAGCCAAAGATGAATTTCAGGGTCAGTCTGGTGGGAGACATTTTCTCCATCTGGCAGGGCAGGACTCAAACGAGACAGAATAGCAGCTGGGAGCACAGCCACAGCTTCTCCCAAGCATCTTCCATCCTTCCTCTGCAGAACCCAGATGGAAGGATCCTACTCTCAATTCTTAAAAATAAGGCCACTGAAACCACCCAGGTCATACAGGTAGCTCATGCAAGGTGTATGACCACTGCCATAAATCCGTTCTTCTGTGGGTGCTATTGCTGCTCTGTAATCAGGGCCTCAGTCTCTGCGGCTCATTTAATTACTGGTGCACTTCCAATAGGATTAAATGGGTGTCTGAGTTTGTGTTAGCATATGTTGGGACACGCTGTGCTGATAAATATCTGTGCCTTCGTGTGCCTACGGATACACAAGTGCTGTGTACTTACAGTAAATGATGCGGTGCCTTCCGAGGTTGAAGGCAAAAGGAAAGTATTCTTGATCCAGCCTGGTAGCTGTAGAGCTTTAGGGCTGATCATGGTGACTAAGCGAAGCTGTTCATGGGCCCAGCATGCAAGAATTGTTCTTTTTTTCCTTATTCTAGGCCAATTATGTGTGTATATTCATGTTTTCCCATGTCATTGCAGCGCTGCAAGCTCAGACTGTCTTAGTCAATGACACAGTCTCGGGATTTATCGGGACAGACGTGGTCCTGCACTGCAGCTTCACCAACCCGCTCCCCAATGTGAAGATCACGCAGGTCACGTGGCAGAAAGTCACCAACGGCACCAAGCAGAATGTGGCCATTTACAACCCTGCCATGGGGGTCTCCATCCTCTCTCCCTACAAAGAACGGGTGACTTTCCGGAACCCTTCCTTCAAAGATGGCACCATTCAGCTCTCTCGGCTCGAGTTGGAGGATGAGGGGGTTTACATCTGCGAGTTTGCCACCTTCCCAACCGGCAACAGGGAAAGTCAGCTGAACCTCACAGTGCTGGGTAAGCTACTGGGCAAGCCCGTGGTGCAAGCTGTTGCTTCCAGTTAAACAGGTCTGGAGGAACCTGAGACTCCCGTCTTGGGAACTCAGGGCAAAGGTTGAGCCTTTGGTGTGAATTTCACCTCTCATGCTCTTTCACGTTGTCCATAAAGAGGTGGAGAGCAGGGAAGCCAGAGTAGGTGGTTCATTGGGTTGTCTTGGGAATGTCTCTTCCTCTTCCCAGACCCCAGCTACCTTATTTCTTAATGCAGGTAGAATAAGAGTGACCTGTCCCTTAAGGGCATGGTGAGTTTTAACACCCTGTGTCTGTAAGGTGAACAGAGAGGAGAGACAACAGATCCTGAACACAAGTAGAGCTTGTCCTTGGAGCAGAAGGCTGTGAGTGAACAGGCTCTACCCAACATCTGCATGATTCATTTGCTCTTCAATTTGGGTTTCCCATACTAACATGGGGATGAAAACCTATTGCAAGAAGGAACTTTCCTTCATGTATACATCCAGGGCAGGTCTAGCAGCCGCTAGCAGTTTACAGGAGCTCTGCATACACCACGAGGTCTGTCGCAGTGGTGCTTGATATCTCCTATTGCTTTTGTAACCCCTTTGTATTCTTCTCTCCTCCTCCTCCTCCTTTTCTGCACTTCCTTGCAGCCAAACCCACGAATCGGATGGAGGGCACCACGCGGCCGCTGATCGCCAAGTCGGGCAGGACAGAAAAGATCTTGGTAGCCACTTGCATCTCCTCCAATGGGAAGCCCCCCAGCACCGTCACCTGGGACACCAAGCTGAAAGGGGAAGCAGAATTTCAGGAGATCCGGAACAGCAATGGCACCATCACGGTGATCAGCCGGTACCGCTTGGTGCCGAGCCGCGAAGCCCATCGGCAGCAGCTCATGTGTGTGGTCAACTACCAGCTGGACCGCTTCACTGACAGCATCACCCTCAACGTGCAGTGTAAGCAAACACTGGAGGGGCTGGGGAAGTGAGTTGTGTGAAGGGATGATGCTGGTCTGGTGCAGGGGGGGGAGTGGGGGTTGCTCTCTTTCTGTGGAGGGTGAATACTTGGAGTAATTGTACGGTTTCCCTTTCTCATACCTCCTTTCCCTCGTTGCCTCTGCCATGTTCCTTTGTTCCTCCCTTCATCTCGCTCCTTCTCTCACTCTCCCTCTCCTTGCCTCCTTCTCTCTTCCTGCTCCCTCCCCGTTCCTTTTCCTTAACGCCATCCCCTCCTTTCCCATCCTTCTCCCTCTCTCTGTCATCCCGCTGCAGATGAGCCAGAAGTCACCATCGAGGGCTTCGATGGCAACTGGTTCCTCAATCGGAAAGATGTCAAGCTGATATGCAAGTCTGATGCCAACCCCCCAGCTCACACCTACGAATGGAAGCTGTAAGTACCTGCAATATTCCCACCTCCTGCACACGGCATCAACAAGACCAAGGAACCTCTGTTGAAATCCCTTTGCTTGGTCAGCTCCCAGTCCCACTGGGATCACGGTGCCGACCGCATCCCCACGCATCTGACATTAAGCAGAAGCAATTCCTCCTCCTCCTCCAGGGCTGCAGCTTTTGGCTGAGCACAGCAAGGGGAGCGAGCAGTGAGCGAGGGGTGCCTGGGGAGCCAGGTGGGAATTGATGGAACCCGAGGTGCTTCTCTGTCCCTCTCTTTTCCATAAGTGCTCACAAGACTTTAGAAAAAAGGAAGATCAAATGGATGCTTTCTTCTTTTCAGCTGGCGTTTGTCAGAGAGGTTCTCAGAATGGCTTTGCGGAGAGCCAGGCACATTCTCTCTCATTTCCCTTCCAGATCAAACTGTTCACAATACAAATCTGAAGAGGGTTGTTTTTCTTGCCTTTCTTCTGCTTCTCATCCCCAGCTCTCTCTGTTGGTTCTGCCAGCTCGCTTAAGCTCCAAGGGGGCTCCCTGGGTTCCTCTCAACATTGCTAGGGAGGTGTTAGAGGCAAAGATACTCCGGGTGGCACCCGAGGCAGAAGAGATGCCAAGGTTTTCTCTCCACTTTTGGGCAAGTGGCTTCATCCCTTTTTCCTGCAGTTTCTCACGTGCAGAGCTGGAGCCTGAGCTCTTATTGTGCTCCTGGGCACTGGGCAGCTCTCAGCATGTTCAGACCCAGCCGACAGCACCAACATCCCTGTCACTGCAGCCAGTTGTCCTGTGAATTCTCTGTATGGCCATTTGCCTGCCTTTAGCCTGCTGTCCTTTTGAGGGTTTCCAGGAGCATCAATACTTTCCTTTAAGAAAGACCTGTGGGGAGAAAAATGGAGAGGAGAGCACAGAATTAACGAGGGCAGGTTTCTGAGCCCGACGGCGCTTCGATCCAATTTCCCATCCTCTCCCTTTTGCACATTTAGTGGGTTGCTTAGGACTGAGTATAGGATTATTGACCTGAAAGAGGATGGAGAGGAAAGGCGGAGTGACGGCGATGAGCAACAGTGGAGATGTTAGAGGGATGGCAGCCTCCCATAGCATCCCACAGCAGTTTCCAGATCTTTGTAGATTGGGAACTCCTTGCAGATTGGGAACCCTGAGTCACCCACAGGCAGAGAACCAACGTTGGGCTTCTCTGTTCTTCAGTCAGCACTGGGAAAGAATGCCCCTTTTTGTGACTAATTTGCCATACGTGTGTATATATAGGCATGCAAAATGTGTGTGTGTGCACTTAGGCACTCTGCAAATGTAATTATACCCCATTATTCCCTTTTGTTTCTTACAAATTGCCAGCAATATGGCACATTTTTGTTGAGAGGAGGGGAAAGAATTACTTGAGTAATTTTTAATTGCCTAAGAGAAGTAATTACTTTACTTTGCTTCAGTAATTAAGAATAACCAGGCCATGTGTGTCGTTTTCCTAACACACAGGCTTTCAATATTTTTTTTATCTGCCTTTGTTCATTTATTCTGTGTACCTCTAGACGTAGTTTTGCATTATTCCACTTCCACACTCACCTGACTCTCCTGACATGGGCAGGCCAGACTGTAAATCAATGCTGCTTTACTCAAGCTGAGGTTGCAATTAACACTGGCTGATCAACCAGGAGTTCTACGGGCAGGACAGCAGGATAGAGCAGGGTTAGGCTGGAATTCCATCCCGTGTTTTCCATCCTGGGGGTCTAGCACGATCTTTTTTTCTCCCAGGCCAAACGGGACTCTGCCAGGGAGTGTGGAAATCCAGAACAACACCATCTATTTCAAGGGCCCCATCTCCTACAGCGTGGCTGGCACCTACATCTGTGAGGCCTCCAATGCCATCGGCACGCGGTCGGGCTTGGTGGAAGTCAATGTCACAGGTAGGAAACCACGTGGGCTGCTCTGAAAGAGGAGGAGGTGGGAGAGGAGGGTGGGAGCTGCTCACCTCTACCAGCCTAAATGTTGTCATAATTTCTGTTCGAATCTCCAGCGCCTCCTTCCAGCAGTGGGGAGTTTGGTGATGCGAAGGGAGCAGAGATGGTCGTTGCTTTGTGCCGGTCTTGCTTTGGTGTGCTTGGGTTTTTCTCCTTTCCTCTCGTTGTCTTTTTCTTTCTTACACCAAGAGGCATTCAGTCTCATTCTCCCTTGTCTGCTTTGGACTCAGATAGCTGGTTGGGCACGCTATAAGCCGAGACATGTCAGCAGTGTGTTTGTTGGGAGGCAGGAGGAGCAGGGTGAGGACAGGGCTGACAGTGAGATGGGCGAGCCGTTTGTTCAGGTGTTGCTGATCGTGGGCAACTCGGTGATTTCTCAGCTGTGCTCCGTCCAACGCTGTGTTCCTCTGTGCTGTGTGTGTCATCATGAATAGCATTGCCAGGGCTCCGGAACAGAGTGGTGTTACCCCAAAAAAAAAGATGCACCAGGATGGGGGGTGATGCGCCGAGGGCTCCGTGCTGCTCTCCATCGGGTACCCCTGCATCCCAAGGGAACTGTGGCCAAGCAGCAGGTGGAGCAGAATAACTGGGGTTGCTGGGGGAGCAGACCTGCTCAGGGGAGCTGGGGAGCAGTGGTGGGGAGCAGAACCTGACCTCCTCCAATGAGCCTCCAATCGGCACCTCACTGCTCAGTTCCCTGCTCTGCAGTGTGGGGAAACCAGGATGATCTTCTGCTACCCGAGCGCTTGGAGGTCAGTGGATGGGATGTGCTAAGTAGATGCTAATTATGAAGTATTTATTTATGATCATTATCGTGGTAGAGGGCCTTTAATTCGCACCTCCTGACCTGGATCCGTGCCTGCTTTGTTGTTCCTGATATCTGCCTCTCTCTCGGGGATTTTTTGTTTGCTGGTGGAAGGAGCAAGACTAACAGAGCTCTGTGTTGAGCACAGACGTGGGACAGCACCTGCCCTGCCATATTCCTGCCCAACACCCACAGAAATCATTTCCAAAACCCATCTCAGCAAGGTGCCCTCCAGAGCACCATGTTTCTGGGCACTGGGGACAGCAACCAGGATGTCCCAATCCCGGTGGTTTTCAGGGCACAGGTTCTAACACTCAGCAAGGGGAAAATGGGCAAGTTTTCGAGGGAATGACTTGGGGTGGGGGTCTGCCTGCCCACAGTCCCAATTTATTCCCAAAAGTCTGAACTATGGTGCTGAGGTTACACGAGTGGGATGGAGGGACACAGCAGCCCCTGCTCCCTAGGAGGGATGAGCAGCTGACATGCTAAACCAGGGCTCCACCATGTAAAAAAAACCCCACACTGTTAATAATTCATTGGATCTGAATATGTTTATCCATCTCTCCCTTGAGAACGATTAGGCCAGTGCTGGGGAGGGTTCAGCCTTCCTCACTCAGCTATTGCAGGTACATTTGTTTGGGTCTTGCAGGCAATTTAGGGATTGTCAGTGGACCACTAAACCTCTTTCAAGAGATGCATGCAATAAATGGAGTTCAATCTAGTGAGCAGCCAGCCTCGGGAGTGGGAAAAAAAAAAAACCATGACAGAGAAGGCTGATGCAGAGAAAAACCTGCAGCAGACATCCTCTCCTTCCTACCCATCCCACCCCAGCATCCTTCATCCCAGCCCTGGGGAGGAGGAGCAGGGATGGGTCAGCCCTGGCTTAGAGGCGATTCGTTCAGGAGGAGAAGGCTGAATAATGCTCTTGGAGTTATAGCACATTAAAGAGATTGATAAGTGGAAATTTAATATTTTATTCCCGCAATCTGTTCCTGTAATAGCTTCTCCTGCCTTGCAGGACCTTTGTCAGTAGCAAGCAAGCCGTGTAGTGTGACATGTAACTATTTATTATGGGCGGCTGGGTGACATTATGAAAGGCAGCGGGTATGGACTGCCTGGATCTGCGTGCACATGCGTGGCAGCCCTGCATGGAGAGGAGGTCACATGCATGCACACAGCTGTGTGTGCCCTCTTTCTGCATCTGTTCCAGAATGCAGGTAGCCCTCCAAAGCTGCATGCCTGCATGGGGATGCCCTGCTGCACAGCCATGAGCACTGGTGCGCTGGTATGTGTGAGTATACACGCATCCATGGAGATGTGCCTGTGTGCAGCAGTGTATGTGCATCTCCTGGTCTTTAGGCACACGTGTACACCTCAGCTCTGCACACACGGGCAGCTCTGCAGCTTTGGCCTTGGCTGTAGGACGGGGAGGGAGGCTGCAGGATCTCCCCCCAAATCTGCTTGGCTCGCAGTAGGGAGTTATTTACACAGCGCCAGCAATGCCAGCACAGCAAGGTCACCACACACAGCCAGCGGGGTTGTGACGGCTCTGAGCACGAGGGAGGGCACTGTGCACAGAGCACAGGGTCTCATCCCCAACAGCTGCATCCCCAGCCCAGCTCAGGGCTGCCCCGTTGGGGAGGCTGAGGCTGGGGGGCTCTGCCTGCTGCTGACCCAGCGGATGGCGGTGAGCAGCGTTTGCTGCAGCCCATCTGATGGCATCTGTGCCAGTGGGAGCAGTGCCTGATTGACGGGCGATAGGTGACCTGACACAGAGATTAAAGCCTAAGACATGTCTGGCATCCGGCCCGAAAGCCGTCACACTCTGACACACCCGCAGCAGCTGCTGAACTCCTGCATTGCTTGCCAGTGGTTTTTCTGCCCCTCTGCCTCCTATTCCAGCACAGGAATCCTCCAGCTGGGAGGAAAGCAGGACCCCTAGGAGCAAGAGATGGGCGTGCGTGAGGGCTGCTGTGAGGGAGTGAGCAGCAATGCCAGCAGGCTCTGAAATTACAGCCCTGTCTGCTGCTATCTCCTACCTTGACTCATGCACAGGTCTGCCAAACGGAACGGGTCAAAGTCCGGCAGTGTTTGGGTGTGGAGGGTGGAAAGGCTGCCGTCTGCAATCTGTCTCCTAAAAGAAATAAAATGCAACGATCCTTGCCATGTTTGCAGACAGCATCCGGGAGCTGGGAGCTCTCAGGTTCCTGTTCCCCATCCTGCTGTGCTGCAACAGGTGCTTGGCTTGGCCAGGCAGAAGGAAACCAGAGCTCCACGTAGGGAGCAGCTTGGGCTGACACACGTCCAAATGGGACCCTCTCATGGAGTTTGACATCTGCCTCAATGCCTCTGGCTCCTCTGAGAGTCTCGGCTGGTGCTAGCTCTTTCCTTGGCCCTTAGGATTGAAGGAAAGGAGATAAAAATGGGACTTCAACAAAAAAATGTGCCCACAAAAGCAGTACCTTTAAGATATCTCAGCAGCGCGACGAGCAGGAGGGCTTTTAAAAGCTGCTTTCCTGCCTATCATAAGAAGATTGTTTGGTGTCTAAAAATATGTTTTTTTCTGGTCTAGGCCTTTCCTGCCCTTGGGAGCAGCTCCTGCCCCAGGAGGTTCTCTGATGTCTAATGAGGTTTAGGTCCCATCTCTGCCAGGGATCCCACGCTCTCTCCAAGAGCTCTGTGATAGGGATAATTTTGGCTCCTTCTCAGCGCTGAAGCCGGCCACCACATTCAGAAAGCCATACAGGAGGGATTGATGGACAGGCAGCACGATTTGCATAGGTCTCCTTTTTCTTCAGAAACCAGCCATTAAAAGCAAGATGAGGCTTTAGCACAGGGCCTATTGAAGCCACCCCTGCGGTGATACTGGCATCTTCATCTCCCCAAGGCTGGCACTGCTGCACCCATGGGCGCTGCCGGACCCGCTCCCTATTTCCATGGGATCAAAGCAAAGCTCAGGGCTGTCCCTTGTCACTGGGCTCCCAGCTGCTGCCCGGAGCTGGCACGGGGACAGGAAGCCAGGCTGAATGCAACAGCTGGCAGAGCGGGCAGCGGGCAGCAAGCATCTCTGCTCTAATTCCTATTCATGCAGCACTCCCTGTTTTTACGAGGGCAGCAGCAAGGGGGAGGCTTTTCGTGCCGGCATTAAAGCCTGGCTTGTTCCCCCTCCCTATGCTCTGCTGTCTCCTGTTTCTCCCGTCCGCTTTTCACAGCGTCTTTAATTCTCCCCAGACTCTTCCTAATGGATTTTTCACATGGGGCTCAGAGGCAGCGCACCGGCTTCCAAAAATTTCACGCACCCCTCGAGCACAAAAAGGGTTTTTTTCCTTTTCCCACACTTCCCTCCTTCCCCCCACCCCCTCACACCACGCTTACGGTCCTTTTTACACCGCAGACACAAAAGCGGGTGGGTGGGCGGCAGGGACCCATCCTGACGCCGGGCAGGGAGCTGCTGTGCCAACAGCATCCATTGGAACCGGTGCCCAGCGGGACCCCCAGCATCCCGCCCGCCCTCACTCGGGGCACCGCACTGAGATCGGCGCTCGGAGGACGCTCGGATGCTCGGATGGGCAGCGGCGGTCTGCATCGCCCTCCAGCGGCTGTGGCACGCGTCCCCTCCCCACCACCCCGCCTTCCTTCACCCCATCTGTACCCATTGCCCACCGCCCTCCCCCCCTTCCCTCCTTGCAGCCCCGTTGCCAGGCTGTGGTGAAGGGAGGAGAGCTGTTTGGGAGGGTTTGGGCTTGCCGTTTCGCTTCTCCCATCCTCTCTGCCCGCAGGTTGGGTTTGTTTTTTCTGGCGGCTGCGAGGAGGGTGGGGATGGGATCTGAACAGAAAATAGAGCCTTCCCCACACGAATTGTGAGCACGGTGTGATGGTGGTGGTGTCTGCAGCACCAGGGGGTGGCATGGAGGTGGGTGTTTTTTGGGGAGGTGTCATGAAGGGCATGAGAAACTAAATATGTGTGGGAAAGGTAGGAAAACATCCTTTTCATACCTCTGTGATTGGCTTTTAGTGAGGTTTGCAATGGGAAAGTGGGTCAAGCTCCTTCTGGAGGTGTGCACAGCCTTCCCCTTTGGATGTGTCCAGTTTCCAGAGCTGGGAGGCAGAGGGGATCAGCGTGGCTTTAAGGACTCTGTGTACGCCCTATCTGAGGCTTTTCAAAGTGGGGTCCCTTGCACAAAACCAGCCTTGCTGTTAGGTAATGCCAGGTAGGAAGAGGCTTCAGATCAGAGCTGTGGGCTGGGAAAACACCAAGGACATATCCAGCTTGCTGCTCCAACCCTGCAGCCCTCCAGGTGAGCCCTTGCTCTGTGCATGGCTTTGGGATTGCAGGGCTGGGCTGGGAACTGGCACAGAGCAGGATGGGTGCTGTGTGGATGTGTGTGTGGCTGAAGCTGAGCAGCACTACCAGGAGATGGACGTGACATTCCTTGCTGTCTCTGCAAAGAGGTTTTGCATTAAGCAGCTGGCTGTGACAAGCCTTCTGTTGAAGCAACATGTGGTTTTGGCTTCCCAGCTCCCGAGCCCAGCTCCTTGCACTGAAATGCATTCCCTCATTCCTGCTCTTTGGAAGGAGTTGCTGCCTCCTGCCTGTGCAGTGCCTTTCTCCTTGTTCTGGCTGCAGCAGGGAGCCCTCCAGCTGCCTGTCCCCAGCCCTGCTGCCCGCCGTGCTGCTCTGTGCCTCTTGCTGGCTCGTGAGGCTTTGCTCTGCAGGAAGCACGATGCTGTCGTTGGGATGTCTCAGGAAAGGCAGGAGTGAAGCAGCTCTCAGGCACGAGCAAAATGCTTGTGCCAAAAAGATCAGGCCGGTGGTTGCTCGAATTCAGAACCTTTGTCCAAACTGTGCAGCTGTTTCTGGAACTGTGTGTACCCAGGGGAAGCTCTTTTCCACTCTCTTCCTTAGCAGCTGGGCGAAATGTGATGTAGGGAGAGCCACCCCCTGCATTGCCCTCATTTGTTCAGGACTTCCAGCCCCAGTGCAGTAACGTGGCTGGATCAGGACACATTTCTACCAGCTCATGCAGAGAGGACAGAAAGCAGACACTGCCTCGTCTTCCTTTGGACTCTGCTTCCTTTCATGCTCCTCAACCTTATTGGCTGCCCTTATTGTAGGCTGTGCTCACATTGCTGGTCCTGTCCTTGGGGTGAAAGCTGCGGGCCAGGAGGCTGCAGAGCAGCAATGATAGCTCTGAGCAGGATGGCTTTGGGCACCCTCCTTGGCAGTGCTGGGGGATGCCAAGGGGCATTAATCTGGCATCTGCTCACCAAATTCAGGGGCAGGTGAAGGACTGAGGCAGCCCAATGCTGCCTGGACACCAACACTTAATGTGCACTTGGACAGAGAAAGCTGAGTGTGGCCAGGGGCTGTAACTGTGCCAAGGAAGTGCTGGGTTGATTTAAATCCTGGATCAAACTTTATCTGTGCCAATGCCGTGTGTCAAACTGCGTGAAAAGGAAGAGAGCGCCTTTCCCATCTCTTTTCTTCTTCTCCTTTGGGTTATTTATATAGATATAAATAGGTCACAGTATCTGTAGGAACGAGATTAGCGTGAGCAGTGGCACTGTGGGTGAGGATGGGGTGGGATGCTGAGGAGGGGACGCAAAGCACCGTGGCCATGGGGTGGGCACAGGAGCATCCTGGGGCCGTCGATACGCGTTGGCAAACTGGACCCGAAATGGTGGAGCATAAACCAGCCTGCACCTGGACTGGTGGCACTGGGCAATGTGGGATCCAAGCACATCCGGGTAGGGTGGGAAGGACACACCGCTTCCAGCTGCTGGGCTCCTGCATGCGGCTCGCTGAGCTTGGCACTGAGCTCCCATGTGCTGACCCTGCCAGGACGCACCCTTCTCCCCTTGCCCTGGTTTTTCCCTTCCCTGTTCCTTACCCTCATCTTCCCACCCCCTCACCCACCCCCACCCCCCCCCCCCCCCCAAAAAGAAAAAGAGAGCACGGCGGGAGGGCGCGTTTCCGCATGGTTTGACACTGTTCCCCCTTCCATCTGTCTTTTCCTACCCAGAATTTCCCTACACCCCGTCTCCAATCGATGATCGCAAATCCATGGTGCAGCCGAACATCCCCACCCCTGTGATCGGGGGCATAGTGGGAGGAGTCTCGCTGGTCCTGGTGGTGGCCGTGGTGCTTTTTGTGGTGCTCCGCCGCCGGCGTCACACCTTCAAGGGTGATTACAGCACAAAGAAGCACGTGTACGGCAACGGCTACAGCAAAGCCGGCATCCCGCAGCACCACCCGCCCATGGCCCAGAACCTGCAGTACCCTGACGACTCGGACGACGAGAAGAAGCCGGGCCCATTGGGCGGCAGCACCTACGAGGATGAGGATGAGGATGCAGGAGCTGAGCGCAAGCTGGGCGGCCCCAACAAATACGAGGAGGACGCCAAGCGGCCGTACTTCACGGTAGACGAAGGGGAAGCGCACCCCGAACCTTACGACGAAAGGACACTCGGCTTCCAGTACGACCCCGAGCAGCTCGACATAGCAGAGAACATGGTCTCGCAGAATGATGGATCTTTTATTTCCAAAAAGGAGTGGTACGTGTAGCTCGGCTCGCCCCGGCTCCGGCCATGCACACACACACACACACACACACACTCACGCGCATCCCCGAGCGGAGCCATGCACGGACCGGGGGCTCGGGGCGGGGGCAGCTTTGCTTTACGGATCATTTGTTTGGTGGGGGGGGGGGGGGCGGGGGGGGGGAAAGGGAGGGGAGGATTGGATGGGGAGGTGGGAGGTCGGGTAATTATTTTCTCGGTTTTGGTTTTGCTTTTTTAATTTCTCTTGACGACTTTTCGTCCCCTTCTGTGGTGTTTGTATCGGTCGGTGGCTTAGGTGTTACTATTTGCTTTAACGACTGTTGCCCAGCCTGTATATTACACTCTGTTTGTGTCTCCGTGTCTCAGAGCGCCCCCCCCGAGGCTCCTCCTCCCGCTCCCACCCCCCTGAAACACTGGAATTTGTTTGTATGTCGTCGTCTTTTCTTTGCTTTAACCTCGGGAGGGGGTCCGGGGGCAGAAAAGCTCACGGTAAAGGAAGTGGAGGTGCCACAATTGGGGGAAGCGATTGCTCTCGGTGGGATATATGGGGTGTTCCCACTGCACTGAGGATCTGCTCCCAGCTCACAATGGCTCAATACAGGGATCATGGGGAAGGAAAGCCCTCGAACAAACCCCAGGTGCATGGGCTGATAGCAGCGCGGAGCAACAGAGCTGCCATTTCCCTCCTGCCGTTCATCACCCTTCTGGCTTTTCATTTCTGCCTTTGTTGGAGCATGTTTTAAAAGAAAGACAAGGAGTATTTATTGCTGACGTTCCCTCTGCGACGGCTCGGAGAGGTGCTGGCTCTTCTCAGCCCTGTTGCACACCGGCGCGCATCCTCCTGCCCACCCGTGGCTTTGGGGTCCCTGTGTTCTATGATACCACTCAGACTTCATCGTCGTGTGTTTACACTTCTTTCTTCCTTCTTTCAGTCAGAGCATGCGGGCAGCTCGCTCTGTTTTAGCAATTTGGGGACGTATGGCTTCGCCTGCATTGATTGCCACTTTCCCAGTACCCCGTCCCTCCTCTAAGCAAAGCCTCAGTAGATAGGGAGGTAGAGAGGAAGGAAGGAGGGAGTTGGCGTGTTGCTCTCATCCTCCTTCCCCCTGCCTTGTGGACTGCTGCTATCTCTGCTCTGTGGATAGATGGGATTCCAGGCACTAGGACCTGACACTGACCTTATCCACCTTCACTGGGTCGGGGCTTATAGCTCTTTTTTTATTTTTATTTTTTATTTTTTAATTGATGTATAAATAAATCTTTTGGTTTGGAAAGAAACCCCCAGTTTTCTGAGCTGTGTTGTCACGCACACCTGAAAGCAGCAGGACTCATTCTCCCCTTGCCTTACCCATTGGGTTTCATTCCCCAGTGTCACACTGCTGCAGGAGCAAGAGCACGGAGCCCGAGCCATGCAGATGAGCCAAGGTCAGGGCTCTGATCCATGCACGCAGGGCTCAGGCCAGGCAACGCAGCTCATACCTACAGGCTGCAGCTCACTTTTATTGCGTTAGTGGTGAGCAGGAGAGGGAAATCCGATTGCTGCTCTGTAATCTTTCTGCTGTTCCTGCCAGCCCTCCCTGCTTCCTGGCTTCTGGCAGAGCAGCCCCGTGCCACAGGAAGCTCTGTGTCCTCAATGAAGGGGATGCAATCTCTGACCCTGCAAATTGCTGTGTCCAGCAGTGATTCTTTCACATGCCATCTTTGTCCCAGGAGGTCCAGTCTTGCACTGCGTGGTGCTGTGGGTCCGGATGTCCCCAGGGTTGTTGATGCTCTGCCAGTGGGAGCTTAGCCTGAAGTGAAATTGTGTCCCAGAGACCCTGGGTGTGATGTGCTGCAGTGAGGGCATGCAGACCTGGGTGGTGGGACGGTGCCCAAGGTAGAGACTTGTAAGGAAATACGCTTTGACAGCCGTGAGCCTTCACTTAAAGGTGTCATGTTTGGAGATTTCCCATCCACAGACAGTCCTTACAGTTAGCCACGTGGGGTATGGAGAAACAAGGAGGCTCAGAGAAAGGAGATAGCACAGCAATATGGGATCTCCAAGCCAGATGCTGCCAAGCTTCACCTTTTGCTGTTCCATATCAGTGCAGACAATGCAGCAGCTCAGGTCTAGGAAGGAGCTCAGCCACAGGAGCACAATGATGTGGCTCAGAAGGGGGGCAGGTGAGGATTTTCCACCCAGAGACCCACAGGCTCAACATGGGTGCTGTGCCATGCAAGGTGCATGGTGCTTCCCTCTGCTCCTCACCCCTGCTTCCTCCAGCATCACACTGGAGTTGCAATGATTTTGCTTCTTGCTGTTCCTTGCAAGGTCAGCTAATTGAGCGAAAGACTTATTGGGGTGGTAATTAGCGAGCTGATTAGCCGTTCATCTATAGCAAGGTAGGAGGAGAAAAAAAAGCCAAACCAAGACAACACTGCAGATTGATGTTTCACCTGAGAGCTGCCTTGATGCAGTCAAAGCATCACTCCCTGTGTGTGCCCAGGGTCACAGCCCCAAATAAGCCCCCTCTTTATGTGCAGACTGTTCTGCTGGCATTTCCCTCTCACGTTATTCATTGCAATCCACCCCAGTGCTGTTATTATTTTCACTTATTTAATTACAAGGTGCTTTTTTTTTTTTTTTCCATTTTGCTCAATCATTTTCATCCAGTCAAGGTTAAAAAGGAAAAAAAAAAAAAATCCTCCAAAACCCTGAAGTTTTCTTTAGCTTCAATAAATAAATAAAAAACTAATCAGACTCCAATGGTAGCATTGATTGCAATAAGGGACAGAGGGAGGCATTTTCCTGATGTGGAGCCCAAAAAAAAAAATAACAACAGTTCAGCAGAAATCTCTGAGGGCTGCAGGGAGAGAGGCTCCAAAGATTGATCCTCAAGCAATTAGAGAAGGGAACGAAATTAACGAGGGGCTGCTGCACTCCTGGGCTGTTTTTCTTTCCCCTGCGCCCGCAGACAGCAGTGCACGTGCATGGAGATGTGAGCACCCCGAGGCTCTGGGAGCAGAGGGCAAGCTGCAGAGGGCAGGAGGTGGGGGATGCATTGCAGGAATGGGGATGGAGACCCTGTGGGAGCTGTGTGCCTTGCACGTGTGACGCACCTGGGGTGAATGTAGGGAGCAAAAGGAGCCGAACCCTCGGTGGCACAAAGCAGCAGTGGGGGAGACGTCCTCACTGAGGATCAGTTCTTTTCTTTGATTGTTTTATTCCTTCAAGTGGCTCCTTAAACTCCTGTGATTGTTTTTCTCTCTCTTTCTTCTCCCTCTTGCTGTAATTATCATTGTGGAATAACGGAACGGACAAACGACCCCAACCCTGCTTTTTTCTCTTTTTTCTTTCTGATTTTTTTTCCCCTTTTTTTTTTTTTTTTTTAATCTGTGCTGTAAGTGCTTTTGTAAAAAAAAAAATAAAATAAAATAAAATAACGTAATGGACTTTTATGATTTTTTTGTTTGTTTGTTTGTTTGTTTGTTGTTTTCCATCCTTTGTAATGATTTGTTTGAGGTCTGGGGGAGGGAGGGGTGCGTTTTCATGGTTATAATTTGTGTGGGCAGGGTGTTGCAGCACCCTTCCTTTTACTTGTATAAAACAAGAGGAAAAAAACAAAAAAAAAAAACAAAAAAAAAATGATGACAGACAATAGTGGCTCAGCTGTGGAAGAAAAAAAAAAAAATGTACTTTTTTATAAATAAAGAATTTTAAAAGAAAAAGAAACCTTCTCTTCTCTTTGTGCCTCTGCGACCGCGTGGTTCCGCATCCTGGGCTGGGAGCTGTGAGCAATGGCAGTGGCAGAAGTGGCACCGCCAGGTCTGTTCCTGTGATGTACTGTGTTTGGCAATGGGAGCTGCTTTGTAGATGAAGGCAGAAGGCTGAGGCTTAAGGGATCTGCAGAGCAGCAAGGAGAAGGAGGATGGGGAATGATGGGTTTTGCCACTGACGTTGGTGGTATTATGTGAAAGTCTTGGGCGGTAGATTCAAAATAAAGGAAGGGAGACAGTTCTTTTTCTCCCTTCAGTGTAAACAGTGAGGTTCCTTGTCAAAGGATGCTGCTGAGGCCAACAGGGTGGCTGAGCTGAGAAGTGTTTTTGCCCATGGCAGAAAGAATCTATCAAAGTCTATTAAAAATTCTGACATTTTCCAGCTCAGGAAGTCCTTCAGCTGCTGCCAGCTGTAGCAGAGGGGACAGGTTATTGCAGAAGTGTTACACCTGCTCTCCCTTACATCTTCTCTAGATATGTGCAGTCAGCTGCAATGGGACTGGGCTGTGCCAGCCTTGGGTTGATGTGGTGGGGTGGGTAGGATGGCTCAGATGGGTTGGATGGGTTGGATGGGTAGGATGGGGTAGGATGGGTTGGATGTGGTCGGATAGATCAGATGGGTAGAGTTGGTAGGATGGGTGGGATTGGTAGGGTTGGCAGGATGTGGGAGGAGGTGGTTGGATGGGTAAGATTGGTTGGATGGCTCAGATGGTAAGGTTGGTGAGGTGTGTAGGACTGATAGGATTGCTCAGATGGGTTTAGGATGGGTAAGATTGGTGGGGTGAGTAGGATGGGTTGGATGGGTGGGATTGGTGGGGTGTGTAGGATGTGATAGGATAGGTTGGCTGGCTAGGATTGGTAGGATGTGTAGAGTGTGGAAGGATGTGATAGGATGTGATAGGATGTGGTAGGATGGATAGGATGTGCCTGTAGTCCAGCACCTGGCTGCCATAGCAATCATGCATCAAAACCTACTGAATGCTGTTGGGATGCCAAGGGCCCATTGGAAGGAAAGATCAGTCAGGCTGCATCCCTGCATTTCAGTGACTGATCTCTGCGTTGGAAAGAACAGTTTGCCTTTTCCCTTTCCTCCAGCTTCCTTGCTGTGCTACAAAGACAGCCTTGTTCCCAAAGATCAAGGCAGACAGGTCTGCAAGTCTCAGGCTTTTGCAAGAGAGTGAGAGACAAAGGAAGTGAGAGATCAGAGGAAATGTGCACACTCTTCCTTGTGCAGGTATCAACAGGTGCTTTGCCATGCCTCTGGCTTGGAGAATCCTTCTGGGGAAGCATCTTTGCACCCAACTTCAGCACATGGGATGGAAAGAAAGACACGAGGGGCTGCCTTTGCCCCATGGTAATGCTGGGAAATGCTGCATAGATTTCCCAGGCCGTGTCTGCCACAGTTTAGCAGTGATGGATAAAATCCATTGCATTGCATGGGGCCTCTTCTTAGCAGCTCAGGTTGCAGAGAGCTGAACGCAGCGGGAGCTGACTCCCATGCAGCGCCCCTAAGTATTGTGTTTCTCTGGAACAAAACAGAAACACGTTGGGGGCAGGAATGCCAGCAATGCATGTAGCCCATGGAATGATGGCAGCGTGGCTTGGATCTCTTCTCAAAGCCACATCTCTGCAGGCCAGCACCGCTGGCTACAAAGCAGCTTCAGAGCGCTGTCAGTCAGCAGAGAGGCAGAGGAGGAGCCCGGTAGGACAGCGGGGTTGAGCAAGGGGAGTGAGTTCTGCCAGCCCAGCACAGAGCAAGCAATGGAGATGTGCCTGCCTGGAACCAGCTGTGCACAGAGCACAGGGCTGAAATGTCCATGGTGAAGGCACGGAGCCATCGGAGCTGGGTGTGAGCACATCCAGTGATTGACTACAATGGAGTCATGCTTATTTCCACCCCCATAGATTAACATCACCTAAGCAGGATTTGCAAGGAGTGACAGTGAGACGCAGCCAAGCGTAAGGAGGGAATTAGCAGGCGATCTGCCTGGCAGCTCTGGACATAGGCACCTGGGAGCATGCTTGCAGACAGGTGGATCTCACAGGAATCCACACGCATGGCACACTCAGAAGTGCCAGAAGGACGATGGCCAGCAGGCAGGGAAGAAGGCAGGAAGGCTGGGAGATGGCAGGTTGGAAGGGGTGGCAGCTCCAGGAGTGCTGGGATGGATTGGGTCAGAGTCATTGACTCATTCATTGGGAGGCAAGAGGTTGGAGGTGGATCGCCCAAGGTCACACGTATTGCCAAGTCTTCTGATGCTGGAAAAGGTGAACCAGGAGAAATTTGCTGGCTCAGAGCAGGGTGAATTATCTGTAGCAACAACTTTGTTTGATTAATTTTTTTTTTTTTTTCCGTGGTTTCACATCATTTGCAAACTTGAGTTTGATTTGAATGAACGTATTTGTGAGAGGAAATTGCTTTATGCAAATGCACTCCAGCTGGGGGACCTGCGGCACCACAAAGTGCTGCTGTGCCTCAGATGCCCTCCGTGGTGCCTGGCAGAAGGCAAGGGCTCCTCCTCCCAACAAGGCACTTCATAAATAAGCCGAACATTTAAATATATGATAAAAATGTTGCATCACCCAAGTTCTCAAAAGGTCCTGGTTGATGGGTACAGCCACTGGAGAGGCCAATCCATCTGCCCACCCCACGGGGAGAGGTGCCCTCATGTCTCCGTTCCCCTTTATCTCTCCCTGCTCCTCTCAAACTCCCACCAGCCTGTTTATCGCACTGGTTTGAAAAGAAAATTGCCAACTTCACACCTGTCAGCTTTAACTGATTGCCTGTCGCACCAGGGGAGGGAGCCCATCCGTATGGCCCTGGCCTCACAGCCTCGGCTCACAGGGGAACGTCTCCATCCCTCGAGGAACGAAATGCTTCATTTCCCATCTCCTGGCCTCATTTTGTCGCCCTGCTCTAGCTCCCGGCCCTTTCAATTACTGCTTTGCAATAATAATGAACGGGGGCTTTCAGCTGGCACACAGCTTTGTCCACCCGAGGAGCCGAGCTCATCATGAAACACTCATCCTCCGAGGGCCATGATAACCCTGCTGGGCTAAGAAATGCCCTTCCTGGTGGTGATAAGGAGGTGTGACAGCAACAAAAGTGTGCAGGGAACCTGGGGCAAGGTTCTGGGGGGCACTCAGGACTAAAGCCTATGGGATCTACACCAACAGGAGCTGCTATCCCCACCAGGTGCCTTCCCGCAAGTTCATCCCCCTTCCCATGTAGGATCTGGAGATTTAACCCTGACTGTGCCCTTCCTTAACCAAGAAGAGGTGGGAGGAGAAGCAGGGGCACCCAGTCCAGCTGCTGCCAGCTGTGCCAGCTCCATGGCTGTGACATGAATGTAGCAGCTGCCTGGGATTATGAATAGATACCAGAGTGGGAATGCAAAGTCTGAATGGTAAACACCACAGAGCTGTCCAGAAATAATGGCATGGGGGCTTGGTAACAGGGAGGAATCATAATTAAATAGAAATTAGTTACTTAAATGGTCACTTCCTGGGGTTTCGTTGATGTCTGATTAACTTAACTTTTAATTTGCATAAGCAATAAATGTTTAATTATGTTATTAATATATTTGAGTTGAGGAGCTTATGGGCTTTTATAATTGGCATTTAACTAGATAGTTCCAGCGTATTAACTGATGTTTCATAGCTCCACACGAGGCTTCCCAATTATAACTGACCTAAAAATGGGCTTGGAGGACCTGCCTTGATGGTGCTACCTGAGCTACAGAGCAGAGGAGATGGCATGGAGCAGCTCTGCATCCTTTTAGGATTTAACTAGCCCAGTTTACACTAAAAACTAACAGCAGTGAGTTAGGGATCTCTTTGGCTGAGTTTTCAACCCATTTGCTTTGGGAGTACCCAGATGGTGCCCAGGGCAAGACGGTTGGTTCTGCCATCCTCCAACATGCAGAAATCGCTTTGTATCCCAGAAACCACGAACAAATTTCTGTTTCCAAGACAGATCATGAATAGTCATTGACATCTTTTGCCTTTTCTAAATTATGACTGCCCTCTTGACATTCTCCATCTGGTAAAGTGCCTATAGAGCACTGCAAAGGGTTTGTTTGTTCCTGTTGCATTCCCCTGCGTGACCTTTGCTGTTGTACCAACCTTTGCAGCTTCTCTTTCACGCTGACAGGTCTCTCTCTTTGCAGCTCTTCTGTTTGATCTGTATCGGAGACAGGGGAAGCTCTGCAAGCTAACAAATGCTCAGCTGGATACGGTTGTGAGGATAAATACTGGTGGTTAAGGCAGAGCAGGGCTTGGAGGTGGTGGGAAGTCAGGAGGGAATGAGTGTTAGGAGCATTTCTTTACCACGAGCAGGAGATTGCAGCCATGCAAACGTGGAGCTGATCTCAGCTTTGGGAACATACAAGGTAGAGCCATCCCATAGTGGAAGCACCCTGGAAGCAAAACCGTGGCCCAGGCACGTGGTCAAGGAGAATGAGACATTCCCAGGAGAGATGCTAAAGCAAATTAACTCCGTTAGTGCAGATGATAAGAGTGTGAGCTGAAGTCCATGTCCCTTCCCTCTGACAGAACTTGTCTGGTGGCTGCTTGTAACAGCGTGACCCCAACGGGTTCATTAAGGAAGCAGGGTTGGATCTCTGGCTCAGCACAGACCCGCTGTGCTCTGGTTGGTGAGAGCAGGCTGCTGAGATCAAAAGATGTAATGGGAGTCAGGATGTGGCCCCTTCGTTCCTCCAGGAGAGGCAATTTCGTGTGTCATCACCTCCTCTAGATTGTACAGCAGTAGAAATAAATTACCAAAGGGATTTGATTGTTCATTACTCTGCTGAACTGCAAGGAAATGAAGCAGAACTAAAATTAAGGGCTGGGAGGCAGAGGGAACATCAGAGAACTCAGGGCCCATCTTCTACCCAAAGCCAGGCTGGGGCAGTGTCCATACAGCTGCATTGAGGTGGAAAGCATGTGGCACAGGACAAGCAGGCTGGGGAGGGCAAGGCGAGATCTTTGCTGGGCCCCATGGGGTTAATGTGCTTCTCCTTATCCTCGCTCCACCCCAGCTACCAGCAGACCCAGGGAGGCATGCAAGGTGAGGTCAGCAAGGGTTAAAGCCACATTCCAGGCATGCTTTGCAGCCAGCAGCTCCTTAACCGGGCTCTGTTGCTGCTACCATGCTGGAGAGGAAAGGGCAGAGCTGATCCTCACCTGGCAGGGCTGAGTGAATGGCAAAGCAATTGCCTGTGCAGGAATGTGTGTGAAATCCCACTAAAACCCAGCAGGTCCCTTCGTCCGCTTGCAGCTGGGCATGCTCTTCAAAGCTGCACCCTGCGGAGGGCTGGCTTGCACACCGTGCTGCCAGAAGCATGAAACCTCACCAGAGGTGAGCCAGCCGTTTGCATGGGTTGGGAACTGATCAAAATTACAGAGAAAAACAAAAAGGCAAAGATCTGACAGGGATGCTGTGATTAGTGCCTATGCAGTAGGCTACCCGTGCTGCAAACCAGCTTGTGCCCGGGGGTGGATCTGCTGCTGCGGCGTGTCTCAAATCAGCCAATCCTGTTCGTCTCTGGAAGCTAACTGGGGACGTGTTTGCTCTGCCAAGCTTTTCAGCTCCGTTTAATTTAGCTCTGCAAACTCGCCGTGTCTCAGGCTCCGTGGAATGTGTCAGGTGGGGTGCATTATAAATATGCATCATCCGATCTCGTGGTGTTGCTCGAAGGTTCAGCGGGTGGAAAGAGCCCAGTAAGTGCTAACCCCCATCCTCTGGCTCAGGACAGCAATCCGGGTCACAGATGGGCTTATCTGGAGCTGGCACTCCACTGGGACACTGTGTTAACCGTGTAGGATGAACATGCCTGAGCAGGGATGCGACTGAGCACCAAGGTTATGTTAACTCTAGCAAGGCTGGCGGTTTAGCAGAGCTTCAGAGCTGCCAGCCTAACAAAAGGAGGGGAATAGTGATTCTTCCCCATTGATTTGCAATGTGTCAGTGAGCAAAGAAGCACAGTGCTGAGTGCCTTGGCTAGCCAGCCATGAAATAGATGGGAGTTTGTTTTGTGCAGGGTGGGGATAAACATGGAGGGAAACCTACTTGACAATTGGCTACAGATGCAGGAATGCCTTTTAGCAAATGGTTTTCTGGAGGGGTTGTGGGTTGTTAAGTTGGTTATTTTGTGTGGTAGACTGGAGCACGAGCAGTCGGACTGTCAGAAGATCTGTGGGGCTCAGGTTATGCTATCAGTCATTCCATGGGGCTCAGGTTGGACCATTAGCAGTCCTGTGGGGCTCAGTCTCTCTCTGAGGAAGCTGGTATGATAGAAGAAAGATAGTGCAGCTGTGAGACCACCAAGGCTTTCCTACCCACCTGGACCTCTGTCCCACACCACTCCAGCCTGCAAGTCAAGCTGGGTTCAATTCTGCTCCTTGGCACACTGCAGCACGGCTGGGATTGCCCATCCAACCTGAGCTTTGCACTAAATGTCAGCCCCAGAGCAGCACAAACCCATGGTGGGGATGCACTATACCTCTTTCTCAAGCCTGAACCCCAAGATCAGCCAGGTACTTCGTGATGCAGACATCCCAGCCACACGAGCAGCTCTGAGACACAAAACCTTCCCCCCCCCAAAGTGCAACAGACACAATCTCTCCTTTCCATTCCTCCTACAGCATCCTCTCCATGGCCACGTGAGCCATTTCCTCCGCTCTGACTTCGGGTTCCCTTTGGGAACATCTCTCTCCCCCTCATGCGAGCTGGTTCTCCAAAGCCCTCATTGTTCCCCTGTTTTTATTTACTGCTGTGCTCTGCAGCTGCACTGTGTCACCCCGCGGGCACGGCGCGTGCGGACAGCTCTGTCTGTTTGTCTCATGGTTTGGAACACAATCACAGCCATGAGCACGGAGCGGGCGTTAAATCACAGCCACAGCTCCATCCCTGCCAGCGCTTCTTCCTTTCCTGTGTCTGCTTCCACCTCCAGAAGAGAACAAAGCAACGATACCCAACTGCTCCGAAAGAGGCTGGGGGTGGGGTGTCCTTCTTTTCTCCTTAATTGTAATACGTTGAATTAATTCATTTTCCAGCCAGAATGAGGAGTTCCCAGCAGCCCTTCGACATCCAGATAAGGCTGAGCTGCTCGCTCAGCCCCTTTGGGTTCTCTGCTACCTGCCTCACTGCCAACATGAACTTTTTGGAGAGTTTTAAATTATTCGAGCATGACACAGAGCAAGGGGTTTTGCATTCTTAATTGGCAAAGTCTTTTCCCACTCCACTCTGGAGGCCCCTGAGCTGTCCTGCCAATTTACTCTGATCCTGATTCACAGGCCTTGCAAATGTCTTCCCAGGGCTGCCCGAAAGCACTGGCAGCGTAACCAAATCCTCATCTGTCAGTTCCTATCATCTGCTCCTGAGGCATTCCCAGTCTCCTCTGTTGGGTTCCCAGCACTGTCCTGCAGCCGCCGTGCCCTCAGAAAGGCAGGGAGCATCTCGAGGCACTGGGGTCAGCAGCCCTCTGAAATGCACCAGCTGCAGCTCTGCTCAGGGGAAGGGACACCAAGGAAAGAAGCAGCTGGGGAGGCAGATGATAGAAGAGAAAGAAAAAGAGGGAAGGGGGAGCAGAAGGAAGGGCTCTCTGTCAGTTCCTAGGTGGGCTCCTCCAGCACCCAGCATCTCTGCTGGGAGAAGAACTGCACCCGCAGGGACAGGGCTTGTCACAGGGGTTTGTCACTGTCTGGCAGTGCAGTGTTGCCTTAAGCAGCTGTGATGGGTAGCAGCACCCAGATGTTCACCCCAGAGCCTGGAGAGGTTGGTAGGAAGGAGACACTCTGATAGACACCCCGAAACAACTGCATTTCTCTTTCTATTCCCCTAATTCATAGAATCACAGAATCATCCAGGTTGGAGAAGACCCTCAGATCCCCCAGCCCCAACCCATCTCCTCTGACCATGTCCCCAAGTGCCACATCTCCACAGCTCTGGAACCCCTCCAGGGACGGTGACCCCATCACCTCCCTGTGCATCTGTGCCTCTGCCCACTTTTTTGGAGTGAACCTCTCCTGGCACAAATTAAGGCCATTACTTTCACCCTATTAAAAAAAAAAACCAAAACACAACACTTCAGGTATTTGCATGTCATCCATTCTCTCCTCATCACCTTTACCCAGTGCCCTATATTTTCTTCTTACCCACAGACTGATGGCTTCGTTTTCACCTCTCTAATTCTCCCTGGCCCCTTTCTGCTGTAACACAGCCCTGTTAAGGCTCCCACAGATCCATTCCAGTGCTGCTTATTTGTTTCCTCACCTCTCTTGCTCCTTTCACCCCATCCCCAGGCACACACCTGCTGATTTACAGTGTCGGCAGGAAGCTGATGTTCCCTGCTCCCTACCTGCAGACCCAGAGCCATTCGGGACCAATCCATCAAGGATATGCCCCAGCCAGAGGGACTGGAAGATTCTCCACCATCACAATCACAACTGCCATCTAGGGGCTTGGATTGCGACGTGGCAGCTGTCTGCCTGAGCACGGCTGCAAGCAAGCTGTCTCAAGGCAGAAATATTATTTACAAGATAATGTGGCTTATGGAGAAGGGAAGAGAGGGGAAAATGACTGCCTGTGGGGAGCAGAGCTCGGTGTTTTGATGACTGCAACATCCTGCCATTTGCAGGAAGACATACAGCTCTGAGCCCTTAATTGGGGATGGGGTGCTGCTGATGCAGGCTCTGGGGTGTCCTCACCAGGTTTACATGGAATCTGCAGGGAAGAGATGGGGGATCTGTGCTGAGATAGTTCCCAGGGCAAGTTTTGCATCAAAACGTCTTGGCACCATGCTGTGAGTTTCACATGTGCTGCACTGATGCAGTAAACCTGCCAGGCCTGTGCTCTTCAATTCTCTGGTACAGACCAGAGAGAGCAGTGCCCTGTGAAATGTTTGTACACCTCGTTTCACTCCTGCATGACAGCAGCAAATCTGGATGGTGGAGAGGGCTGCCTGCGTGGGAATGGGGCTGCTGGCAAGGACCCAGCCCCATGTATGATGGTGGGGTGCAGGGAGATCCAACCTTCAGCTGAACCCATGGTGTGAAGGGGAGAAAACCTGCATGAGTGATTCTGTGTCTTTCAGGCACGCGTGCTTATGTGTTTCATATGTGGGCATCATTCTGAGGCTTTGGGGATGGGTGACCACCCAGCTCTGGGAGAACCAAGGCTGTGTAGTCCAGGATTCAGACTCAGAGCAGCCAGGAGCCAGAGCAGCAAGAAAAATATGAGAGTGAGGTATAACAGACATGTTCTACAAAGTACCTTTCCCCTCATCCTTGTCTTGCTCCCTTCTCCTGGATCTCTTTTCCTTTTCCTCCTCCTCTTCTTCTTCCTCCATTCCAATTATCTCCTTCTTTCATCAGTGCCGGAGCTGTAAGTACAAAGTACCAATTAGCTAGTTTTCAAGTTTAATTAGGTTGGAAGGTAGAGCAAATTAAATCCTTTTATCGTACGTTTCAAAGCGCTTTCCCATCAAGCCCATGGGATGGGATTCCTTTGCAGGAGGACCATGTCAGCTGCTGGGGAGATGTCTCATGTCACTGAGCACTGCAGCCATGGGGCGAATGGGGGATGGAGGGCAAGAGAAGATCCATCTCCCTCACCCCTGCATCCTGCACTCAGCTTTGTAAGGCTTTAGGGTGACAGGCATTGAGGCACATCTTCCCTCAATGCATCGCCTATTGGTGCTCAGCTTTCCCAAGCTGTGCATTAAAAGCTGTGCTCTCCTCTGTTCCAACAGTAGTCAATGAAGCGTCTGAGCGGCTTGGCTCCTCCACACCTTCATCCCAGTTCTGCCCCTGCTGGATGCCCTAACGCTCTCTCCTGTGCTTCCTTGTGTATTGCAGACAAGCCACTACCTCAGGGCGCCCTGGGAGGCATCATTGGCATCGTGGGAGGTGTCATCGCTGCAGCTCTCATCCTTGGCGTGGCTGTCACCGTCTTCATTGTCTACAGGAGGCAACAGAAGGACCGCACAGAGGCAGACCACGACCTGTGAGTAGCCCTGGGCTGGCAGGGAGCACAGCAGCTGTGGGATGGGGCGGCACAGAGTGCTTCTGTCTCCTTTGCTCCCTGAGCGCACAGAGCCTTTTTGCTGCCGTTCATCCCCTTCTGCCCCCTTTTCCTTCCTTCATGGCCCCTGGTGCTTCCCATCCTGCTCACTCTTATTTCTGGATGCTTCTCCCGAGCCCTCAGTGGAAGCTGAAGCTCATTTCACCCAATGCTGCATGTTCAGTGCCTCCCTGGGCACAGCACAGCTGCTCAGTGCCACTCTCACCTATAGAGGGAGGAGAGGACCCAGCTCTTCCTTCACCAGTGAATGACTTCAGGCTCCTGAGCTGGACTGAATCCCATTCTGCCATCAGAAAGGGGTCTCTGATAGACCCTCAGAGAGGATTCCCATCCACCTATACCTGGTGCCATCCTGAAGGCGGATGCTGGAGCACCCCCAGGTGCTCTCCTTTGGCAGAAGCTCATTTTGCTCTGCCCCACACTGCAATGCAATGAGAACATTCAGAAATACCTTCCCTGGCCACTCCCTACATGGCTTTGAATCATCACAGAGCACCCCTCCCTTCCCACTTCCCAGGAGGGCACCAAGCCCTCAAGGCTGGAAGTTGCTTTTATCACCCCCAGCCCTCCCCACCATCGCTGTTACATTTGGCCACATTTTGTGCTCCATTTAATCCCATTTGAGAGAGGGCACGGGAGGACAGCAAGCAAGGGAGGGAAGGGAACCGGGGAAAACAGAAAGGCACACACACACACACACACACAAAAATAGCACCACAAGGTGAAACTGCATCAACAGCATCAGCCCTATAGCAGAGATGCATTCAGATGATCCATTTCCCACAGTGTCCCTCCAGGAAGGCACAAAGAAGAGTCAATTTAGCCAAGAATAAAAACACAGTGGTGCCCCAGAGCATAAGGGGGGGGTGGAGCCCAGTCCAAAGCCTTGCAAAATTCAGAGCATTTCTTTTCTTTAAAGTCAACATCCTGCAGAGCTCTTGGAGCCCACTGCACCCTTCCCTTCACCAGTAGCCCCAGTCCCATGCTGGAATCCAATGTGCTGCCAAGGAAAGTCGCCCATCCCAATCGGAAGATCTGATGAAGTTTGTAGGAGAAGGGAGGGGAAGCTGGCTAATTAGTGGATCGGAGTTTTAATAAGTTTTGTAAAAGGATTAGACACATCTGTGCATACAGACGGAATGCGCAGAGACAGGCTCTGGGCTGGGATTATAACGGCTGCCAATCCCTGTGTGCTCTGGGGCAAAAGCTGATCCCCTGAGTGGGGGTCAGGGCTAAACCCCATGCATGGCATAGCATGGGGATGAGGGAGATTCCAGCTCCCACTGGAAAACCTATGGTGGGAGCTACAGCCCCAAATAAGTCCCCTACTGGGGGTTGCCATCACCTCGCTGGTTTGCACTGGCACCTGGCACTCGCTGGTGCTCACAGCCACCATATGAGCATCCATCCCATGGGATGCTTGGAGCCACCCCAAAGCAGCACTGAGAGACAGGGATCTCAGCTACACCCCCGTGGTCTGCAATCCAACACAGGGAAGTGCTTGGAAATGGGAGCAGGGTGCTAGGAGGGCGTTCGTTTCTGTTTAACAATTCTAATCAGGGTGAGAGAAAGAAAAGAGGGGAGTTGCTGAGAATAACCCGTATGATTATACTGACAGTTTGGTGACAAACACAGTCAAATCCTCAGTGTGTGCAGGATCCAGCCTGCTGTGGCACATGAAAGCAGGCAGACCCCTTCCTCCTGCTCTCTAATCAGCTGCCACTTCTCTTCCCTTAGCATTGACTTGCCTCCCTCCCACAAACCTGCCCCTCCGCCGAAGAGGAAGCAGGAGTTGAAAAGCCACCTGACTACTGAAGACATCCAGGTACGCCTCTTGCCTTGCTGCCAGCTCCTTTCCATGGCGAAGGGAGCAGGCAGTGCCCCCAGAGCCTGGATTTGGGATCACAGGGTTTGCAGGAGCCCAAAACCCTGTGGCATGGGTTTGGGGGGCAGCAAGTCCCAAAGATGGATACCTGGGATGGGAGGCAGTGGAGGACTTGTTTGCCGATGATGGGCACAGATTGAGAGCTGTAGTTTGGCCCCATATTCTCCCTTCAGGAGGGATTGGATTTTGATCTATGGGCTCTGGTTTGTTAGGGTTTGAGCATCATCACCATTTCAAGCAGGAGAGGCTGCGATGAGAAAAGGAACGTGGGAATGAAATAGAGCAGGAGGCAAGTTGTATGGGAGGAGCAAGAGAAAAGGTAGAGCTTGCTCCTGGTAGTGGCAAGGCGGATAGCACTTGCTCCTCACCCTTCTTCTCTCTCTGCCACAGGTTGTTCACTTGGACAACATGAAGCATGAGGAAGAGCTCCAGAAGCTTCCCCTGCAGACCCCATACTACGACATGGCAGCCAGTGAGCCCTCTGCGTACACCGACAAGCTGGTAAGGGGTGCAGAAGGCTCACAACACCCACCTCAGCCTCCCTGCTTTCACCCCAGTATCCCTCACCCCATGGCAAAAGACCCCATATCCAGCCTTTGTGTGACAGCCAAGCCAGGTATCCCACCCCATCACCCTCCTGGGTTCTGCAGCAAAGCTTTTCAGAGCAATTATTGGCTGGGCAGAGCGTGCCAGGGTTTGACTCTCTGCTGACAAGTTTCTTAAAGCCCATTGTTTTGTGTGGATTTGTTCAGTGGCAGAGAGGGAGATGCTAATGTGAGACAGCAGCAGCAGAGAGATTAAGGGTCAGGGAGAGATGCTAGCAGCCAGGCAGGGGAGGGTGAATTTCAGGGAACGAGACTAGGGGAGAAACTGCAGATACAAGAGAGCAAAGCATGGGAAACAGGTCCATCCCTCCCCCACCCCACAGCATGGGACTGCTCTCTGCATCCTCTGTGAGACCTCACATGAGGGTTGCAGGTCTCAACATCAAAACCAGATGCCTCAACTTATCAGCATGTGAACCTGCTTCTTTGCCAAGGCGTTATAATCACCAATCAGCCAGTATGGAGGGATACTTTATGAACGTGACTAATTATTGCAGCCCTCCTGTTCATTTTGGAACGACCCTTCGATGTACATTCCTGTGCAGATAACAGAAGGATGGGGCCCAATGACCTTTAGCCAGCAGTGAGACAGATGCTGAGGGCATCAGTGATGAAATGGCTCAGATACAGCTCTGCACTGAGCCATGCCAATGTGATCCTCTTTACTCCAGCCAAGCTGAAAGTGGCAGATGCCCCTAAAGAAAAACTTCCTCTTGGAGCCCTCCCTCAGCCCAGAGCTTATCTCCAGCCCCTTGCAGCAAGGCAGGTGGGTTTGAAAACAAAGCACAGGACATCCGAGGCAGATGGGTTGCTCTGTGGAGAGCAGCTGAGAGCTGCTTTTCAGGCAAGCAGGAGGATGGAGGAGCTCATTTTGGGAAATAATGAGCAGTCAGTTAATTAAGTGGCAGAGTTAGTGATGTGAGATGGGGCCTGATGGGTAGCTGCTCCGTAACCATGGGAACAGAGTTTGCTGCTCTCAATCCTGGTCTGAGAAGATACATTTCCACATCCCATGCTTGGCACTCTCTGCTCCTTACCCTCACTCCCAGCCCAGCAGCAGTGGGCTGCAGTTTGCTCCTGCCCACCAAGAGAATCCCTCAGTGCTGGGGCCGTGGGGTCTGGGTGACTCAGCTGCTGCAGCTGTGTGGCACAGCTGGGTTGGGACCTGCCCTCTGCTCTCTGTGGCTGGCAGTCCCTGCAATGCTCCCATCTCCTCTTGCCTGCACACAGAGCATCTTGGCTTTGTGCCCCAGGAATGAGATGAAGCTCGCTCTCGTTTCTTGCTAAATCACCACATCCTTTGGGCAGGCAGCAGGTTGTGCCAGTTCATGACTGGCAATGGGAAGGAAGGAGCCCCTTTGTGCCAAACAGGGCTGGGAGTGCTGGGTGCTGCTCAGATGGCACAGCTGGGGCCAGGCTGCACCACATTGCTCATCCATGCCTTTGCAGAGCCAACTCCTGCCCTGCTCCTTCCAGAACCACTCACACGAGGCACATTTTTCATCCATTCCCTACAGCTCCACTGGGTCTCTGCCAGCCTAACACAGCCCCACTCTCTCCTCATCCTTCCCCAGCAGCAGCACTGGGGTCTGGGATCCTTCAGAGGTGAAGGCAAAGAGAAAGACAGGATATTCCTGTTCTGCTTGTGCTTCATCAGGAGATCTGACGAGGCAGCGTGTGGAAGAAGATGAGAGATGAAGGGACCTGATTCTGTAGGAAAATGGGGTGGATGCGTTGTGCTTTAAGTGAATTGTGCAAAACCTCCTAATTTGGGATAAACTGCTTTCATCACTCAGCTGTGTGAAAGTCACTGCCTGGGGAGGGCAATTTCATGGCACGAGAAGGGAAGCTGGAAAGTGATTAAAGATGGCGAAGAGCAAGGGAGGGGGAAGTGGGAAAGGTGGCAGGAGGACAGAAACCAAAGGGTGGGGGGTACAGGTAGGAATGTGTGGGCTGGGGAGGGGCTGGGGCACATCTGCAGGTGCTGCAAAAGGGGAGTAAAAGCAGATATGGATGTGGGAAAGGATATGAATGTAAAGCTGATGGCACGGATGTGCAAGGGCAGCGCAGTGGACTATTAAGAATATAAAAGCATGCAGGGGATCACAGTGTTGCTTGTACTGTCCCTGAGCACTTGTAGAGCAAAAGCTTTGGTGTGCACGGAGGTATTTAAGCAAGAGTGAGTGGGCTGGATGCTGCAGGTTGCATGTGTGTGAGTGTTGGTGCCCACGTGCACAGCGAGGTGTGCAAAACCAGAGGCACATCCTGTGGGCACAGAAGCATCCCTGTCATGCAAGTGTTGTGTGCAAGGTGAAGCATGAGAGGAGGGAGCAGAGCACGCATAGGAGCAGCGGGGTGGTTGGTATAAGCATCAGCAGTGCCCATTTGCACAGGTAGAAGGGAAAGTTTCATTGCTGCAGACAGCAGAATAATTCCTCCTTTTTACAGGGCAATTACCGGGGTGCCGATGCTGATGATTTACACAGAGCGCCTGCACGTAGCTGTGCTAGACCTTGTATACAAGCCACATTATTGATATTGTAATAAATCCTGCTCCCAACAAGCAGCAGGGAGTGGGAGCGAGCCCAAGAGTAGCAGAGAGCAAGGGGAACTCCCCAGAGCAAGCATCTCCAGAGGAAAGCAGCATATCTGGAGAGGAGGGAGAGGAAATAGAATCATAGAATGGCCTGGGTTGAAAAGGACCAGAGTGCTCATCCAGTTCCAACCCCTGCCGTGTGCAGGGTCACCAACCAGCAGCCCAGGCTGCCCAGAGCCACATCCAGCCTGGCCTTGAATGCCTCCAGGCATCGCTGGAGGCATCCATAACCTCCTTGGACAAAACAGAATGGGAAGGAGCTCAAGGCTCAGTCTGCCTTTATCTGAGACTGGAGAAGGTGCTGAGATAGAAAGATGAAGGGGAGGATTCTGCAGAGCATGGGTGGAGGTTTGAGATGAGCTGTTATCATTCGCACTCCTCGATGCCCATAGGCACTCAGAGCACCCAGCAGCCCTTCTAGTGGCAGGCAAACACCCAGCTCATTAACAGCGCCTCTGCTAATTGCTCTGCCACAGGTGGCACAGGGTTGAGGGCATTCCAAACACAGGGTAGAGAAATGTTTTTAGATTCAACCACTTTTGCATTATTGCTGTGTGATGCAGCCATTTTGGAATCGCTTTCCCCTTTCCCTGTCCCTTCTCCATTTGGAAGAGACAGCTCTCTCCTCTTAGAGAGGCTTAGCAGGTGCTCAGCAGAGAAATTAAAGACCCTCTGCAGAGAAAGGATTGAAGGCACCTCCCACCTCAGCCTCTGACAACAGAGGTACCCCTAAAACACCCCATTCCTCCTCCTGGGGGCTCGTTTCCCCCCAGGTGCTGAGGTTTCCAGGTCACCCTGCTTCCCAAGGTTCTCTGACTGTAATTGTGTGCAAAGCATGAGCGATGTCTGGATGGGAGTGATCAGACAAATTGGGTAATATTCCACTCTTGCAGCTCTTGCTGATAAAACCTGCTTAGAAACGGAATGCCCATCAATATTTCCACGCCAAAGAAGGATGCTTTTGGCATCTATTAGACATTATAACAGCCACAAAACCATTCTGCGTAGTTCATCTGCTATAGCATAATGTGCAGTCAAGCCTGGTGCAAAAATGTGGTGTACAAGAAAAGCCATAACAGCCCCCACACCGGGGCAACACAACAGCACTGATTAAGCAGTGCCATTTCCCTACAGCAATACAGCTGCAGCCACTCCCTGCAGGTTAACTCCATTCTGACACCCCAGATTCAATCCTTTCTCATCACTCTCACCCATGAACCCCAAACTCTTGGCTCAGTGCTGACAGTTCAGGTATCTCACGAGGTCAGAGTTCACCAAATTGCCCTGGCTGAGGACAGTGTTGGTCTCAGGGGATGATGAGAAGCAGGGAGCAGCAGAGTGCTGCCAGCCTGGCTGTGGGTCATTGGGCTTGCAGGTGGCTTTGGGGAGCAATGCCATGGGGACCTTGGGTTTAATTTGGGGTTTTACCTGACTGATTGCTCATGCCACCCCTCCCTCCCTCTTTTTAACTGTTTTTTCTTCCTCCCCTCTCACCCTTCTTTCTTCTTTATCCCCCACCCATCACTCAAACCCCGTCCCACCTCATCCACTCACTCCCTCCGGCTCGGCTCCTGTCTTCTCACCCCTCCTGACCCCCAATACCTCTCCTCCTGTTCCCCCCACTGCCTCGCTGCTCTCTTCTCTCCAGAACTCTGGCACCAAGGACTGTGATGTCCACTATGCAGAGCTGGACACGGCCGCTCTGGCCTCGTCACCCAGTCCTCGGACCTCCATCCATGCTGGCGGAGACCTAGTCGAGTATGCAACCATCCAGCCCAACTTACGCTAGCACATGTCACTCTAGGCCCTTTCCCCTCAGATTCTGGCCTCAAGGTACACAACTGCACTCTGCCTTCCTCACTGTGCTCCTCTCTGCATCCCCTGCCCTTGTCGTGGAGTGCTCCTAACCCATCCCGCCCACCCCCTCCTCCCGCACGCTGCCCTTGTTTTGGGGGCTGGAGGAATGCCTTTGCCTTCTGTGCATGCTCTCTGTTGTCCTTTGCTTTCTATAGGGAGGTGAGGCACATGGGAGGGAAGGGTTGATGGTTGGGTTCTGCAGCCAGCCTGGCTGGAAATGAAGGGAGAAACCAGGTGGGTTTGAGGGGTGCAGATTGATTTGGAGCATTTTGGTAAGGGGCCACATTGCTGAGCAAAGCAGCAATATCAAGAGGTCAAAACTTTGGGAGATGCTAAAAGGGCTTTTCAAGGCTATCCAGAGGAGGGGAAGGAAAGAGAAGGGGACTGAGATGGGGGGGGAAAATAAAAGGGAGAGTTTGTATGCGTGGAAGAGACTATAGATA